CGGACCGCCGGGCGGGCAGAGTGGGGGCACCACTCTGGGAACACCACCTCGCGCGGCAGCCGCTCTCTGCGGACCGCGGCCGCCGATCAGTCCGTGTACGTACTGCGCGCCGGTCGCTATGTGAACGGTTCACGCGCGTGTGTGTGACTTGTGTGATTTTTTTTTCCCCCTTGTACGCCGCTGTCGAACACCCGTTGCGGACCGCGCGACGGCACCGCGAAACACATATTATTTTGTTACTCCAGAGCCGTCGATATACATATTGTTTCTCAGTGTTCCGCGTCGAAAATATTTTCACCGAACAACGTAATCCGAAGAATAGAATTCTATTTTAATTTATTTATTTTAAAAATTTATTTTTTATTTTTATCTCCCGTTTTCGCGCCGTGCTGTGATAAACCGAAAACCGTTGCGTCGCGATACGGGTCCCGCGTCCACACCGCCGTCGAGCGCAACACGTCCGCGTAGAACGATTCGCGTTGCAGCGGCCGCACAGTCTCGCACGGAACCGACCGTCCGCGGTCGTCGGCCGCGACCACTGACCGTCTACCGTAATACGTCCGAGTGCGCGCGCGCGGTGGTGCGTCGTTTCCTCTCTAAACCGGTGCTCGAAAATCGTTCGCAATTACGGACTTAACGATTTACCCGCGCAGTGTTCGGGGCGCGTCGGTTGAATGTGATTGGAAAGCGCGGGTGATGGCCACCACGTACCTGCCGGTCAGCGGCGGCGGCGGCGGCGGCCCGGGCCCCGGCGACCTGGACGGCATGGGCGGCATGTCGGTGGTGAACCAGTCGAACGGCGGTGGCGGCGGCGGCCCGTACCAGCAGCCATCACCGTCGCCGCGCGGCCAAGACCACCCGGCCGGCGGCGAGTTGAAGTATATGCCGCCCGGCCAGCACCATCACCATCACCATCACCACCATCAAGTTCCTACGTCCCCGTCGCCGGTGTCGCTGTCGGCCGCGGCCAGTTGGGTGGACCCGTGGGCCGCGTCCATGAGCATGCACCACCATCCGCACCACTCGCACCATCCGCACCAGGGACTGGACATCAAGCCGCCGCCGGACATGCGAGTCGTGACCGGCGGTGGTGGTGGCGGCGGCGGTGGCGGCGGCGGTGGCGGCGGTGGCGGCGGAGGCGGCGGTAACGGCGGCGCGCAGTCCTGGCACACGGGGCCACCGCCGCCCGTCGTCTCGGCCGGCCACTACAACAGCAGCGGATCCGGATCGCCGCAGCTCGGCCACCATGGCGCGTACCACGTGATGAACGGCATGCTGGGCCACACGCACCCGGCCGTGCAGATGCACCACAGCCCGTCGTACCCGCAGCAGCACGACCCGCAGTCGCCCGGCGGCGAGGAGGACGCGCCCACGTCCGACGACCTCGAGGCGTTCGCCAAGCAGTTCAAGCAACGGCGCATCAAGCTGGGCTTCACGCAGGCCGACGTGGGCCTGGCGCTGGGCACGCTGTACGGCAACGTGTTCTCGCAGACCACCATATGCCGGTTCGAGGCGCTACAGCTGTCGTTCAAGAACATGTGCAAGCTCAAGCCGCTGCTGCAGAAGTGGCTGGAGGAGGCGGACTCGACGACGGGGTCGCCGACCAGCATCGACAAAATCGCGGCGCAGGGCCGCAAACGCAAGAAACGCACTAGCATTGAGGTGTCGGTCAAAGGGGCGCTAGAGCAGCACTTCCACAAGCAGCCCAAGCCGTCCGCACAGGAGATCACCTCGCTGGCCGACTCGCTGCAGCTGGAGAAAGAGGTGGTGCGCGTGTGGTTCTGCAATCGGCGACAAAAGGAGAAGCGCATGACGCCGCCGAACACGCTGGGCGGCCCGCAGGACGGCATGATGGACGGCTCCGTCGGCGGCGGTGGTGGCGGCGGAGGCCCGATGGGCCACGGTGGCCTGCACCAGGCCTACCATCACCAGGACCACGTGATGCACGGCTCGCCCATGGGACCGCACTCGCACTCGCACAGCCCACCCATGCTCTCGCCAATCGGCAACCATCAGTCCCTCGCGGCCCATTAACGTTTCGCCCAGTGGGACGTTGAGTACTCACGGCACCTGGCCAAGATGCAGCAACAGCAGCAGCACCAGGAATGCACGTAGAAGAGTACTGTTGTTTACTGTTTCGAACAACGTCTCGCTGAGGGCGACTTAAACGAATTAACGTGTACGCGCACCATCTAATGCGAATATACGAATCGCTATGATACGTATGGTTCGTATGGGCGTTGGGGCGCGTGAGCGTTACGTTCAAACCAAATTCGACTATATAAATATTAAATATAAATATTAAATATATATGTAATTATAAATATGCAAAAAAAAAAAAAAAAAAACGGATCATATACGTATAATGTAATATATATATATATATTATTACGACGGCGTGTACAGAAGAACTCGTCCGGTTGTGCGACGGCTGCTGCGTAACGTACGATTATTATAAATTATGATGTTACGTTACGGATAGACAAGTGTACATGTTCTCCGCAAACTTTTGATCGTTATTAAATATATGTGTACAGTACTGCTGTGATGCGTACGACGTAATACGATAGTGATAATGATAATAATAATTAAAATAAAAAATTTGATGACCACGATTGATGAAGTGTACGTGTACATCAACAAATATATATGTATATTTAACGAACGGTAACGACGACGATGATGGACGACGAAAGACTGTATTACACCGGTTGCAGCGGAACGCGAACAAAATGTTGCGCCGGACCGAAGAGAAAAAAAACGGAACGACGGAGTCGGCGGTCAGCTGCAGCGCCGAACGAGGAGATCGTTTTCATCGCGCCGACGACGAGGACCAGAACGTGTTCGCGGACCGAGCAGGACATACGCGGAGTCGAACACACGTGGAGCGGGACACACGCGGAGCAGGACACACGCGGAGCAGGACGAAGCGACGGACAGACCGACCGGCTGCGGATATCACCTCTTCTATCGCACACCGACTGTGATACGTGATTTAAGGATATATATATATATATATATATGCTATATTAATTTTTTTTTTTTTAATTCTCTTCCCCGGACATAACTTCGCCGCTATGAATACAGGTACTGTTGGTTATTTTTTTGTTTTAAAATTACAAAACACCTTTAAATATAATATACGCACATCCTCAAAAATACGAAAATCAGCACGAGTCATAAAATTGTATTTACTTTTTGATCTTGACAACGTTTACTTTTTTACAATTTTACCCATAAATTATGTTTTATCATTTTCTCGCCCGACAGTGTTTCGTCGTACGCAATTCTTCGCGAAACTCGAGGTCCCCTTGCACGCATTGCTCTTCGGGAAGAACTCGGTTGTACCACCGATGAGGCATTTCCCGTGCCGACACCCCCACGATCGAACCCTCCTATGTAATAAAACGATCCGCCGCATTTCACCGCAGCACAGGAATGAAAAAATAATTAATAACATTCCGTAAAAGGGTTTTCGTGGATTTTTTGTTCCTTCGCGTCTCCCGTTTTCGAAAACACTTGTTTATTGTTCGCGTATGTATATGTCCGTGAGTGTAAGCGTGTATGTTTGTGTGTGTGTGCGCGTGTGTGGGTATCTCCTCGGTCTATCTTCTACTGGGGTCTCCCGACGAAACATCCAAAAACCGGTTCGTTCCGAACGATTCATAATTTTTGTTCATTTTTCCCATCTTCTTCTTATTCTTATTCTTATTCGTGATTTATGTGACGGATGAAAAAAGGTAATAATAAAATTACCCCGAAAAAAATAACCCGGTCGGTAGTGTATGAATACACGCGGTATGTGTACGACGCTTTTTTTTCTTCATATTTTTACGATCACCCTCTAAATATATTATCGGTCCGCGTAATAGCATCCGAATAAATCAACCCACCCGTCTTTTCTAGTACACATATATATATATATATATATAAATACATCACGTTCGGAAACAATAATAAATTTTAACTCAAAAAATAATAAATAAATATACCTAATATATATATATAATATATATGTATGTGTGTATTCGTATGTTGTACACATAATAATATACTGACACAGAAATGTTGGCACATCGAAAGTGCTTTTCACCCATAATTATATTAATATGATAGAAAGTATATACATTATATATACATTTCCACATTTGTATTTTGTAACGAATTTATAAAATAAGTCACTAGGTGTTGTTTTTCTCATTTTTTTAATTATAATTTATTATTATTACTATTTTATTTTATTTTATTATTATTATTATTTTTTTTTTGTTATTTTTAATGATTTATTTTTAGTTTTAATAATATTATGAACCTTCGAGTTTACTGATACATTTCAATATTGTTATTCCTAGTAGAAAAAAAAAAGAAAACCACTCAATTAGCCGTTAATCAATTATTATTATTATTATTATTATTTATTTAAAAAGGATGGAAATAACGGGAAAATAATTTAAATACATACAAACTATATGCATACTTGTATTCATTTAGCCGGTAATAAGAAAATACGATTATATGAAAAAGTAAATTAAGGTACAAGATCTTTTTTGTAAATACGAAAATAGATGTGTAAATAAAACTGTGTAGTTAGTTGAATATTATAATTCACAAAATATATAGAGAAAATAATAAAATACACCTTTGGAACGTGTAATTTTTTTGTTTGTTCATATAATATTATGTTTTTAATAAAAAAAAAAAAAAAAAAAAATTAATAAAAATAAAAATTGAGGAATTAAGTCAAAAACATTATCTGTTGATGTTTTTTTTTTTTTTTTTTTATTTATTAAATTTATATGTGTTGTATAAAAAATAAAATGGGATATAAAAACGATTTGAAATAAAAATTTGAAAACAGAAAAAAAACCCGTAAGAATTTTTGCATGATGGAACGCGTTTCGCGCGCTACCCCATTGACACAACACGATCCATCCTGTACATACGGCGGCAGCGAACCACGAAAAACAAGCGGTACGTCCGTCAAACATTGGTCTCGCCGGTTCTCGTCCCCGGGCTTCTCGTCCGCTGTTTTTTTCTCCAACCGAACGTCATCGTAGCCGTCCGGACGAGCAAAACCGGCGGACGTGTGTTCATCGTGAGAACCGCAAACCATTAACTGTACCTGCGTGTTCGTACGGTCAACGTGTGTGCCCTCGTTGTCGGTGTTTGCAAACGCAGCAGAAGGTTTTCGGCCGTCCGTCCGGTTCGTCCGGTCAACTCGACCGTGTGCGAACAGGAGAAGAAGAAGAAAAAAAAAAGGGTTAAAATCGAGTGATCATCGCGTTACCTTAAGCGCGCAGCGGCGGCGCGATCGCAGCGGATCCCAGGCCAGGCGGCGACGGATACTCGGTAACGGTTACGGCGATTCGCGCGTATTCTTCGCCCCGTCGCCTAACAGGCGAACCGTTTTTTTTTTCCGTCCGTTCGCGACCACGGACAGAACTTCGTACGGAAACGTTTACCGCCCGACGCGTTTTGCGTACATCCACGCCCGTAGAAAAGCCGCGTGTCGCGGAACACGCTCGCTTACGTCCCCGGACGGTTGCGGAACACAATCGAAGGGGTACGGGGTGTCGTGGACAACAGTCGAAATAAGAAAATGTCTGATGATCACATCATCTTGTCGTTTTTTTTTTTTTTTTTTTTTTTACTAATATCGTCGACCAACAGTTATTTTTCGAATTATTTCGTAGCGAAATCTTTTAGTTTTTCGAGTTGTTAAACTCGAAGAGCTCAACGCCAAACGGTCTCGGAATATTGACCGTTGTCGTTCATTCCCGTAGACCTTCTTCGGACCGTACACGTACAGCGATTACGGTTGGCGCGGCAGAATTTTCTACGGACGCGGTTCGAGTTTTCCAAATCGATACGCGGTCCTATGTACGCGCGTACGTATAAATGTATTATTATCTTAAGTGCCCCTCGCACGACGATTGCCCGTCGATCGTATCGTCGTCGCTGCACCGCGGCGCGCGTATATCTTGACGCGCTTCCCATTTATTTCCTAAGCCGTATACACACACACATATATATATATATATATATATATTTGTCTGCGCGCGAGTGCACGTTTAGCGTCGATAGGGTTTTGACGTAAGCCAAAGATTCCAATCGATCCTATTATATATACATGTATACTTGTATAAGAGGGACAGAACTGCATCGCGGATTAGAATAGGCTCGTTGTGTACGCGCACGTTGTTCAATCTCTTTCTCTCTCTTCGCTCGTACACAAAAGGCGTTTTGCGAACACTCACGGCAATCGAAACCAAAACATCTCCGCCGCCGCCGCCGCGTATTATTATTTATACAACCCTTTTGAACCGATGCGTCTCGCGATACGTCCGAAACCCATTAACCGCGGACCGCGCTCGCTTGTACGACCTCTTATTGTGCTGCGCGAATCGCTTCGGATGGACATTGTGTTGTCACGTATCGCGGACATCGATTGAACGGCAACGTTAAACGCTGTCGACGTGCGGCGACCGTGTAACAATACACGTACGGACGGATTCGGTGCCGAAATATAATGGCAGGCCCGTAATGGTGAATCACAGAACCGACTGAAACGTATTACGCGCATTGCTTTGCGTGTACGCGTACTCTGTGTTACATGACCGTCAACCGTGGCCCTACGTTGTTTTCGAGGTACAGGGTTCACACTTTGGCAGTGCGGTTACAACGCGATGTCGACTTAAAACATTTTCGAGTGATCAACAACGAATCGTAAGAACTTGTGTTCATGACAGTTATCGTGTACCGATTATATTTATTTTTTTTTATCGAAAACAACGGGGTGTAATGCATAGTACATAATGTTCAAATTATGAATAGGTTTCAATGTGCGTTCCTCAAAAGTTTTCAGTCCCCCTAATGCTGAAAAACGCTTAAATTATAATACAGCGTGATAATAGATATGTGTTTGAGAACTAAATTTCCACAACCTTTATTCGCATCGTTCGTGTAATAAATAAAACCGCCCGGACTGATAAAAAAAAAAAAAAAAAAAAATAAATAAAAATATAGCTTTTGACACGCCGATGGCGAATCGGCTCACGGTGAATTAATAATTCCTACGTACGCCACCGGATTGTCACATCAGGGCCTAGAATCGCGTGCGGTTACCTTTTACAACGCGTCTCGCGCAGTGAAATGAAAGTACAGCGAGTAACATTTTCCCGTTGGAGTTAGAAACGTGTGCGACGAAGATTTCGATTGATTTTGAAAAATGTCAACGGGTGTGTGTAAGATAGCGTGCGCTGCAGACCACGAACACGCGTTTGAGATCGGGTGCTTGGCAGGACGGAAATCCAAAAATTTCGCGTAACCTTTTCCGTTCGGGAACGTGCGGCATTACCTTTATTGCGCCGTTGTTTGTGAACTGGTCACCCCCGACCACGTTACAGGGCTTTGAACAACGCGAGATCCATCGGGTCTTTCGGGCCGTGTCGTGCCTTTAGCGCACGTGCGTCGCGGGTGGAAATCGTAGGCTCATTCGCTTGACGGGTCGGCGGTCGATCGTTCTCTCCGTTCTTTTGGCCGTCTGGTCGCATGTCGCCGAACAAAGGAAGAAAAGGATTCTCGCGGTGCGCATAACAACCACACGTTGTGCGTACGAGCGGTGCAACGGCGTGGACAATCACACCGCGGTCCGAGGATAAGGATCGGCTGCAGACGTGTGAACCGTTACCACTTTACGTACACACGCGTGTATAATCTTCACACGTGTGCCACGTTCAGTATATATGACACTCGCATGTCTTTACCCGAACACAACAATATGATGCGCGCGCGTACCGTTGCCGTTGTTGTTACACGACGTACACGTAGTTCGAACCTAAAATAATATCTTGCGGTGTCAAGACACGTGCAACGTATAGGTCCGCACGCTGCAGGTATACGCTTTGTAAATCCTTTAAAATGTCCTCGATCCTCGTTCAATACATTCTTATTACTTTTTTTTTTTTTTTTTTTGACATACATTTGACGTTTTGAAACCCGACGGGAAAACAACGTTGTGCAGTTGGATAAATAATCCGATTTTTATCCGACGCACCAACTATTATCCAACAACTTCTCACGGACGGACAACAACGCGCGCACCGTAACGGAATGCTTCGGTAAGAAAAAAATGTTGACGAATTGTTTTATCGGTTTAAAACTGTGCGCGTTCACTCCCACTCCCACGAGATCTGCGGAGCATCGAGCCATGCGTTCTGCAAAACATTTCCAGTGCAACGATCGGACGGGCGTATCGTTGCGAAAAACGCACCACCGCAAACAATACGAGTACACCGTATAGCGTCGATCGCAAGCGTCTACTGATAGCACTCGATTAGCACCTGTAAACATAATGAACAGCGATAAAATATCTATGGAAAACAAATCGAAAGATTTCCGTCGTAATAATAATGCGAGTTCGTGCGACGGCCACTCGAATTGTACAATAAGTCATTGTACGTAACCGTTGATACGCAGTGTACGATGTTGTTCGATGTCGAAACGACAAAAACTCCTTTTTTTTTTTTTTCACGACCACGTTATTATTATTGCGGTAAGCACGGTTTTACTTGCTTTGACGATACTACACGTATACGTAATGAGCGCTAGATCGAACGGGAAAAATCGTCCGACCACCGTTCGCAGTCATTCGGTATCCGCGACGAAACGTTTATCAAATCTCATGGATTCGCGGTTGAAACCGACCGCGGGCCGTATCGTCCGATCAAGTCGTCATCGTTTATCTGCCCGCCGGTGCGAAGTACAATGG